TCTTACTTCTAGCAATTTGTTCTGCATGGTTAAAGCAGATAATGATTATGATTTCTCCCTATGAAAATTATTTTCTATTTAAGGGAAGGCATTTCAAAGTGGGTAGTAGATATGGCACTATCTCTACTTTGAAGTTTTCTGTATTTCTTTACGCCTCCTTCCCCTCAGAGTGTAAGGTGGAAACTCATGTGGTTGTTTTTATTCCAATTCAATAGATATGGAGGAGCTCAAACATTTTGCAAAGAATCAAGGTGCTCCTGAAGCTGATGACTTAAATCATTGGGACACCAGCTTCTGGAGTGAGAGACTTCGTGAATCCAAATATGAAATAAATGAGGTGTGGATCTGTACTGCCTCTGCCATTTGAACCTTTAGATTTTTGTGTATTAAGTGCATTAATGTATTTTCTCCTCTTGTTCCAATGAGGAATTCAAGAAATCAAATTGTTTGTGTATCTTTTCTTCATGAAATAAAGTTGTACTTTGTCGAGCAAGGTGCTTCTGGAAATGTTTTCTTGTCTATGGCCTTGACTTTCATCTTTTATTTTTTCTTTTATGCATAGTCTAATTATCCTTCACATATTTATGTAGGGTGTACTGCTCAGAATTTAAAATTTAGTCCGATTCCCTTGTTATGCATCCACTGTTTCTTTTGTTCCTAGAAGTTAAAAGAAGGCTCATAGAGATGGAAACTTGACATAATAACTAATTGTTATTGTGTTTTTTGACACTGCATTGTCTAGTACTCAATTGTGGCTACTGTTGGAACTTATCATTAAATGAATAATTTCTATGTTGTCATCTACAATTGACAGGAAGAACTGAGACCTTACTTTTCATTGCCTAAAGTTATGGATGGCCTTTTCAGTCTCGCAAATAGGTTGTTCGGGGTCAATATTGAAGCAGCTGATGGTTTAGCTCCTGTAAGAAACTCCCTCGCATGTGTTGGGCATCGCAGATTTTTTCATGCATGGTTTTTCACTGAAATGTTATTCTTCAGGTTTGGATGAGTGATGTTCACTTTTACCGGGTCAAAGATTCTTTAGGCAGTCCAACTGCGTATTTCTACTTTGATCCATATTCTCGTCCTTCTGAAAAACGAGGTGGTGCATGGATGGATGAAGTAGTTGGTCGAAGCCGGGTCCTGTCACAAGATGGTTCCTCCCCTAGGTTGCCTATCGCTCACATGGTGTGCAACCAAATGCCCCCCGTGGGGGACAAGCCAAGTCTTATGACTTTTCGAGAGGTAAGCAGACTTGTTTGTTTTGCACTGGTGAAAGAAATGTGTGGGTTTTTTTAATATTCGACTTGCGTGTAGTAGTGTACTATACAGTCTCTTCCTAATTTTGGTGTTTGTTTACTCCTGTTGAACCTTCTCAATTTGGATTCACTGTCATTTTGATTAAAGATTGTAAGACTATTGTCATCATTGCGAGCAATCTAAGTATTGGCTATTATTTCTGTTCTTTTTCCTGGATTTAAGTTTCATTTTGTATTTAATCTGTTATTCTGTTCAATTGGAGTTGATGATTTCATTTTCACTTCCATTTTTACATCAAGTACATGTCAATATATTGTGCATAAGGTTATGATATATATATGAGTGAACTACTTAAGTTACTCTGCATGTGCATGTAGGTTGAGACCGTCTTCCATGAATTTGGCCATGCTCTTCAGCATATGCTGACGAAGCAGGATGAGGGATTGGTTGCTGGTATAAGGAATGTTGAGTGGGATGCTGTGGAATTACCATCCCAGTTCATGGAGAATTGGTGTTATCATAGGTATGGATTTTGGTGAACTGATTTTCTTTTGCATCTTGTCCATTGCAAGTGGAGCTGGAAGTGTCATTGTTGACAATTCTCCTGGCATAGTGCTAATAATAGACTAGATTAAAATGGCTCAATTAAATTCTAGTGCTTCTTCTATTAGTGAAGTTTCTAGAAAAAATATATCAAACGACGCAATGCACCTTGGGTCGCTACGGAAACAACCTCCTCGTATAATTACAAGGGTAAGGTTTGCGTGCAACTGACCCCCCAGACCCCAATCCGTTGGGAATATACTGAGTATGTTGTTGTTGTTGTTGTTGTTGATTTTCTTTTGCATATTACTCAATATTTATTTACATTAATAGAAAATTGGGTTCTCAGTTGAGATTGAACTCTTTACTGATTTTGAATATTGAAATATAATATCAATCTTTTGTAATCATTAAGTGGAAGTTGTAATGTATTGTAGGTTGGGTAATCGTGAAGATTTACTTTTAGAAGTCTTCATGACTGTTATAGAAAACATTGCAAAGAAAAATCAGTTTGTACTAAATGCAGTTATCTTCCCATTCCCATAGCACATTATCTTTGTTGCTAAATCTTCATTCTTTTGTGGATGTTGTAATACAGTTGTTCTTATTATTTGCAGAGATACGTTAATGAGTATTGGTAAACATTATGAAACTGGAGAAAGTATTCCAGAGGACATATATGAGAAGCTTCTTGCTGCTAGAACATTTCGTGCTGGCTCTTTGAGCCTTCGACAGGTTTGGGAAGCCTTTTGCATTTTCCTATAGTTATCCTTTTGCTTCCGGTCTTTGGCTAATGGACGTTTTTCTTTCCCTGTTTTAAGCGACATAGTTCTCATGCATCATTTTAGTTTGTTTATGGTGATGTCTAATAGTCTATACACATAGAAGTTATAGTTGCACTTCCTTGCTGCTCACTAAAAAACTAAATATTATTAGCTCTCGTTTTTCGCAGCTTAGGTTTGCCACTCTTGATCTCGAGTTGCACACAAAGTATGTCCCTGGTGGCCCAGAGTCTATCTATGATGTTGATCGTAGGGTTGCAAAAAGAACACAAATACTTCCTCCACTTCCAGATGACAAGTTCCTTTGCAGTTTCAGTCATATATTTGCTGGTGGATATGCTGCTGGATACTACAGCTACAAGGTAACAGTGTGTTGTTATTTATTTATTTTGGCTTGACATTTTTATGGTGTATTTGGTTACGATTTCTTGGTCTACAGGTAATTTTCTTTTTATTTATTTATTTATTTATTTTGGCTTGAAAATTTTATGGTGTATTTGGCTATGTATCCTGGGTCTACAGGTAATTTATATGCTTAGCTTTCGATTTTCCTCTCGAAAAACTCCAGATTGAAACTAAGAATTGGTTTTCAGCTTTTTCTAATGCTGGTTGATTTTCATGTCTGCAGTGGGCTGAGGTTTTGTCGGCAGATGCATTTTCAGCATTTGAAGATGTCGGATTGAATGATGACACGGTTGGTTTTCTTTCTTTTTTTTTTTCTTTTTTTTTTCATATCTTTGT